ATGCTGAAAGCATTAATATTTAGCCTGGAGAAAAGGAGGCTGAGGGGAGACCTGATCGCCCTCTACAACGACCTGAAAGGAGGGGGTAGTGAGGCGGGGGTTGGTCTCTTCTCCCCGTTAACTAGTGACAGCAAAAGAGGAAACGGCCTCAAGTTGCGCCAGGGCAGGTTCAGGTTGGATATTAGGAAGAATTTCTTCACTGTAAGAGCTGTTAGGCTTCCTAGGAAGATGGTGCACTCACCATCCCTGGACGTGTTCAAAAAACGTTTAGATGTGGCGCTTCGAGACATGGTTTAGTGGGCGTGGTGGCGTTGGGTAGAAAGTTGGACTTGATGATCTTTGAGGTCTCTTCCAACCATAACGATTCTATGATTCTATGACTATTTGCTGTTCTGGTATCTTGGAAAAAGAGTATGTTAATCTATACATGGCAGTAGAGATAAACATAATTTCAAGTTTCTATACTTCTTCCACTCTTTTCTCCTTCCCAAAATAGTAGATATATTACACACGAAAGTTCTATGTTGCAGGAAGCTGCACACCAAGCTTCCTTCAAAGATACTCAAACTTGCAAAGCTAAGTACAAAGACAAAAATCAGAACTGATAAGTAAGCCATCAAGATTCAGGGTGGCTTATAAAAACAGATACAGTGACTGACCAACCTCCGTAAACAGCTTTGCTTAAGAGTGCTGGCAGGACACAAGACTGAACGTATCCTTGCGGTCTTAATCATTCCCTTCTCTTTATGCAGTTCCTCAACTCATTTAGTACCTATCTTTGAGAGCAAATAATGAAACCCTCTTCATACATTCCCCACAGTACAACAGCAACTCTTCCCTAGGTTGATCCATCCTGTGCAGTTAATAAGGGAAGCTATCTGTGATGAGACACATAATGCACGATGAGTCAGTGCTTGCACAATATGTCAACTAAAGCCAACTACCTTATATCCACATAGATAGAGCTATTGCAGACCGGTGCCGCTTTCATCTGGCTGAGCAATCATAACTTCCTGACATCCTTAATTTTGACCAAAAATAGAGAGGGATGCAGCAAACAAAGCACAACCCACTAATAAACTACAGGAAGTTTATTTTAGTTTGGATCCAAATTCACCTTTGAGATATCTTCTGGTAGAAGAAACAATTTTCTTCTTCTTCCAACAAGAGTATGGCTTCCTGCTCCATACCTTGATCGCACTCTGGTCGTGCCTGACTAAAATCCCCATCAGATGGCTGACGAGTGGGTCAGGGCATGAACTCAAGCACCGTGCCATATACTATCTAATTGTTAGCACCTTCTGGTCTGGTCTGGGCCCCTGTTGTTCCAGCCAATGTCCAGGCACGCTTTAGCACACCATGTAGGCCAAGGACTGTTCCCGGTACGCAGTATGGGCAAGACTGTCCTTTGGCAGGGAAGGCGTTTAGCAGGGCTGAAGAAGAGCGGGACGGTTCAGTTAGTCTCTCATCCTAAAGAAGCCAGGGTGTGTTTGGCCGTAAAAACCAAGCACCATCAGCATGGTAAAAACCAGCACCAATACTCAGCAACTCCCAACCCTTCAACTGCTGCACCACGTGGCTCAGCTCCTGCATCACTACTCCCCAACTCCCAATCCCTTCACCCATCTCATTAAGATCCCTCTTCCAATCTCTCTTCCCAAGTATGGATTCATTGTGGTTCACCACTTGCCCTGCAGAGACCGATAGCTTTTTCCTCCCCAGCGTGAAGCAGAAGTTAGGTGGTGGTACAGAAACTCTTTCAGAAAGCTACGAATGCTCTGTGTATGTGCAGGTTCTAAAGCAAACAATGAAAAAATCAAAACAGAGCAGCACGCAGCCGCGCGTATCTGTAGCTAGGAAACAGCCCAGCTCCCTAGTGATCCCGTGAAAGACTGGCTCCTTTTTCCTCGTTGCGACGTGTTGATACACAACCCGGCCCAGTGCAGCCTTGGACAGGGCTGTGTACGGGCGCTGCGAAAAGGGTGTGCGGGCAGCAGCATGCGTGGGGAGGTCAGACCAAATCCTCAGCTATATTAACTGAAGAGCAGAGATACACCCCCACGGAGATGAAGTGATTTAATGGAAAACAGCACACATCCATGATGACCATGGACTTAGTCACTACAAATGTCATCTCTTTCCAAAGGTACAAGCATGTCTAAATCTCTTAAAATATTGACAGAATTGGAAAATGCAACTTAATTCCTGAAGGACTACTCTCAGTTTGGTTGAAACTTCAGCAAGGTATCAAATACGAAGAATTTCAGCAGTTATGAGAGAAAAAGATACAAGCATTGCAATGTGGATAGCTCAGTTATAAAATCATGGGGCTATCAGCTACAGCTATAATAAAAATAGCGTAAGCGTGTTATACTCCAAAAGGGGAAGCTTCCAAACTCATCCACTCAGAAGCTTACCAATATCACAAGTTTGTCGAGAAAGATAGCATTTACTTATCTAGAATTTTCCTTCAAAATCAAAACAGTTTGCTTTCTTCAGAAAGGTAAACAAGAGTAACCCTGACAATTAATTCATTGAATTGAGGGACTGCAATCTAACACGCGAAGAGATGATGCCGTTTCCCATTAAATCATCTTTATTCCATAAATCTTTTTATGTGGATAAACTAGTGCCTACTTTACAGAGTGACATTTGGAAACTGTTATGATCAGGTAATGAGAATGACCGAGCGCTGGCCAAACAGTTCAACATGTGCAATAAGCATCTGACGTATTACAAACTTCTAGAGAGGAAACCTTGCTTTATCCAGCAGCATTGACACAAAATATAAAGAGAAAAGATTACGCTACAGAATGCAGTCACAGCTATTTTAGTAAAGATCACCTTAAAGAAAATTCAAGATTTAAAAAGTATGGTTCTAAGATTAAATGTAGAGATAAACTAACCCTATTTATACAAATAAAGGCCATATATGCTTCCCCAAAAGCTGATTAAGCAGTCACTGCCCAGGAAATGACCAGAAACATCAGAAACACATTTTATACTACTCACAAGATATAACACTTAAGGATACGTCAGTGTGTCAGTTATTAAAAACTAAATCACTTTCGTGGGAGAAAGGTTTCTAAAACAGGAGCAAAAGTCTACAAAACATTAATGCAGAAAATGCCAAGTAATGCCTGATACGTGACAAACGCTCACATACAAAGAGAGGGCCCTGCTGTTCTTTAAGCAATTTCCAGATACAAATACAAAGCAGCATTCGAAACCAGAACTTATATTTAAAGTGGAAAACTAAACAAGAGTACAACTTGAGTAGCTTCAAACAAATCAGCCATTAAACAAACAGACATCAATTATTAAAGTTGGTGTTGCGGTCATTCATTTTCATTTCCTCATTCCACTTTGGCAAAATTTATCTACTCGTTACTGATGCCGATGTAAAATTCAATCCTATATGATTATGAAGAATTATGAAAATAATTTTGTGAGGTGTCAAACTCAAGGCAGCGATTTACAGGAATATCAGGGACAAGATATTGTTCCTGATGCACATCAGTATTATCTGTAAAGTAGTTTTGGCAAATCTGCTGGATTGCTGCCTTGACTGACTAATGCAATACAAAATCTCAGACATTTTGAAAGACTTCATAGCTTTTAAGCATTACTGAGAAAAAAAATAAGTGCTACATAATTTTAAAAAGTACATAAATTAACAAGAGGAGCTGAAATTGTAGCCAATACCATCTAGAAGTTTCCAGTACAAAGTATAGTAAGATTTATGTAAACCCAAAGATTTTAGTGTTATTAACATAAATCACTCTACAGTGCTTTATGATGTTCCTCCAAGTGGAGCTCAGCTCTTTAAAGTGCAGTTTCCTATTTTCTATGATGTTTTGTTCTTATGTTTTTAAACATCCTAATAATGCTAAGCTAGTAAGACAGAAATTTAATATTACAAAAATTCCTTTGGAAAAAAGATACCTTCTGCACAAGATAAAGTTAGCATGACATTCAGATATCTGACACTACTTGAAAGCACAGTTTAATATCTTGTATTTACATTATTAATGTAAACATAAATGCACACTAAATTGCTGCTTCTACAAACTATATAATATCCACTCTTATTAACTCCTCCTTCTTAAAATGATAATTAATTCTCAAGCATGTAAGAGAAGCTAATTAATCCTGACTTCTGCATAACATATTAGAAAAAGTACTTTGTTTTCAGAAAGTGTTTCTACCATTACACACATCAACTATAAGAGCCTTTAAGTGCTTAGTGTACCTTACCTACAATGCTTTCCTACTTTACTACACCAATCAGCAGAGGTACTCTGTTAGTTCTCTGTACCCAGCAAAAAAAAAAAAAATATACTCTGGCCCACAAAACAAACCAGACCAGAAACAGGACTTCTCAACTTAAGTTTTACAGAAATTCTTGCCTGTTCAGGACCTTTCTAGAATAAAAACTTTAATAATGAACTTTGCTCTCAGCTGCATATTTACCAGTTAATAGGATGATTTGTACATGCAGTTGTGATGACCTGGTGCCTCGTAAGACTGAAGCAGCTCAGTTTGTGCCAACAGTTCTGCCTAACTCATGGGATTCAACTTTACTAGAATACACAAAGGAACTTATACAGTACGTATGGTGTGCAGCTTTCTCTAAACACAAGTCTAATTAGAGGAAGATTTCACAAAGTAAAAACGTAAAGTGTTTACATAACTAAAAAATTAATGCTTGAAGCATTAATTCTATCCAAAAGATCTGAAAAAGTTTGTTGTTTATTTTACATTGGTAAATATTCTAATCCTTTTTCCTTCCTTCAGTCCAGCTCATCTACCCAAATATCTCAGATTGAAGAACTGCGTATAAGCAGAGCAGTAAGTTTATTATGCCTCTGCCTTGTTTTATCTATCAGTTTATCTAAACTCTGCAGCCTTGTATCATGCTTGCAACATTAGAACCCAGTCCTCAATTGGCCCCTGAAGACTAAACAGAGCATTAAATGTCGACCAGCAACACTACTTACCACATTGAAATCTAAGTTTTTTTCAACCCACTCCTTGGCTTCCTTGAATTCCTCTTTCATTTCCATGATGTGTAGTGTATCAAGGGCATCCACTATTGTTGCTCCTTGAATGTTACCTGAAATACATGAAGAGTCAGTGATTTACTTTTCAACAGAAGGCTTTTCAGTTAGATCCAATTAATTTAAATGAATTCTAATTTCAAAATCCAATTAAAAATTAGGCATATAAGCATTCAAGTGGGCAACTAGTAATTCACAGCCTTAACTTAGATTCCCGTGCCACAACACAACATCGTAATATTTAAGTATTTCTTCCACTAATGAAGTTTTGAAAGGCGGTTCTGATGCACTGCATTTTCAGCCATGATTTTGCATTTTTAAACAGTGGTGGAAGAGTTCACTGTAAAATGTAATTCATAAAAGACAATAATCTCACTAAATTGAGAAATGACTGTTTCTTCCAGTTTGGAGTGAAAAACGTCAGTTGCTTTTTTGTTTTTGTACTCAATAACATACATAAACCTTTAAGAAGCTGGTAATTTCTGATCACATTTCAGTTAAGAAAGCCCTTTAGGAAGCATCTTCTCTGAAAAACAATTTTTCTGATACTGTGCATCACCATGTAACCTGCACAAGACAGCACTGGGGGAACAAAGGCAAACTTGCACACATGTGAATGTCTCCGCTCTGGAGAGCCCGCCAGACACCGGTTTTCAGAGCAAGTTCTGGGTGTTTGCAAAAGTGGCATCCTTCCACCTCTGCTATGGAGATGGATAAGAGTCAGCCTTCACCTAACATTCCAAGATGATATTTCATCAGTATGTTTACTTTGCCATCGATTAAACGTTCATGATCCTGTACTGAAAGGTTAATGTAGAGGATGGGGGAGAAAATAAAGCCACTCAATATTACTTTCCCATGCTTCCTTCAAATTTACAATGATCTTTTCAAAACACAATTTTTGTCCAGGAAAAATTTCAATTCCTACTCACTGAATAGTGTCAAAAATACAATTTTGGCCATTTTACTCAGTTTTGTATTTATGAACATGGCTCCAGCAATCTTCATTCTGAATGGAAACCACTGTTAAGATATACTTTAGAGAAGACCCTAGATACAGAAGTAAACATTTAGAATTGCAAAATCATTTCGGTTGCAAGGAACAGAGGAAGTCATTAGGTCCAATCCCTCTCTCCCCCAGCAGGGCTAATGACTCAGGTGGATAGTTGACTACTTATTCAGGAACTGATTGCACTGGGCAAATAACAAGACAGTAGCTACAACTAACTTTACAGAACTTGATTATCATCTTGCCTCTGAAATACCTGATGAAAAAGTAAAGTTAGTTCTATAGACTTATCAAGTATCAGAATGGAATTATTTATATATAAAGTAGAAAATCCACTATTTCAGTCAACTCTGGTGTTCACTACCATCAAGGTGTTCTGCTTCCTTATGAAATGGAGAAGTGATTGGAGACCTCCATGCAGCAGGATTGACATCACTGTCTTAACTTAAGCTTCCAAGTAGAAAATAATTTTCCATTTGTATGATCTTAAACAAAACAACACTGGAGATTATTATAAGAGTTACTTGGTAACTTTAACAGAACCAGATGCTCCCTCTGCTTTAGCAGCTGCTCATTGTTTGTAGCATCCTTTTTGGAACATCCTTTTCCACTATGAAGGAAGTAATTTATATGTTTTCCCCCCACATATTCCACTAATAAAACTGCAGCACGCTTTGGTAACAAGGACATCCTATCTTCCCAGAGCTTATTTGGAGCTTGGCTGCCCTTCTTTCATATTAAAGGAAAGGCATTCCTTTAAACTTGGCTAAGTAACTTGTATTTTTCCTGAGCTCATGAGAAAGTGAGAGCAATTGTGGAAAACTGCTGGAGGATGTGTGCTCAAGAACACCACTGCAAAGGCTCTGGAGATGTTTAGCAACTCCGTACGACAAAAGCAGCTCCTGGTGAACTTTTACAACTGAACTTTACTTACGGAAAAATCACCTGTAACCTCATTTGCTTGAGCGGATTGCGATAGGCTCACTGTGCAATGACATTCTTTGTGATAATCCTCTTGTAACACAGCTAACACCACCTCTAAAAAGTTGAGCTTTCAATTTTAAGGATTAGTACTTGAGCTGCAGCTCACTACTGAGTCAGAAGAAAAAGAGGAGAATTCAGCCTTATTGCAAAATCACCCTTGGAGTCACCCACTTCCTACGATTTATTTTTTTTTTCCCTTGAATCTGGCCTATGTGGCCTGCTTAGAGCATAGACCTCTCCCTGCAGGCAGACAGAAAAAAATGGGAGAATCTGAAGTATATCTCACTTTATTCAAAACAACTTTTTCTATTATTCTGAAGGCTCCAGAAAACAGAATAAAGGGATTAATGTGACAATTAAATAGTCAAGTTTGTCTTGAACAGTTACACTTCAAAATTCTTGATAAAAGAACACAGAATGTATTTTTAAAGTCTCAGTTTAGAGGCCAGAATTATGACTTGTGAACAATTGCAGTTTATGCTAAGTTAGCCAACAGGCTAATCCAAACCTAAGAGCGTTAAGGAAACTGTATAGCTGAACAGTTCATTTATAACCAGTCAGACAAACAAGGTGGGGGAGAAAAAGGAACGCAAAGAAGTTAAATGAACATTCTTATTATGGCATAAGACCAAATATTTCACAAGCCTATAGACACAATGCTTCTCAAAGCACACCACATAAACTATTAAATATTGTTATCATTCATGTTAGTTACTACACAACGTTCCCAAGGAATTACACAGCAGTCAAGGTCTACAAGAGGCAAAGATTATTGCTAGGTAATTACAATACACACTCATATGACATCATATTTGGACAGGAGGACTGCTTTGTTATCCACCTACAGTACTACTATAAATCTGATTAACAGTGAGCACTGGGTTACAAAAAGTGCCAGCAAAGTTGCAGTCACCATGGCAGAATTTCACAGCTGCCGTAGGCAGAAGGAAGATATCGCAAGCAATACTTGGAGCAAATTCATACACCTGAGGTAATTACAGATATATTTTGCAGATAATACAAAAAATAGTATACTTGAGGTACAGAAAATGGGCTTGAAATTCATAAAACAGAAGCTTGAAGTGAGTAATTTTGATGACAGAAGAGATAACCAGATGTACAAGCCTACCAAAGTGAAACATTGTTAGTCTCTACCAAAAGCTCCAGACCAAGTACTCATACATGCTCCATTCTACTCCCTTTGTTAAATCTGCTTCTGTTTTTCTTTCTCCTCTTTACTAACAGCATTGTTTATTCCATGTAAGTGATTACTAGAGAACACGTAAAATAGCCTACAAGCTACTTAACTAAAGAGAAAGTAAAAGAAATCAGTCAACAGAAAACTTCAAGTGGACAATCTAGCAGCATCTACAGAGCATCCTTTCCAGTTTAACACTTGAAATCTTTAGCAATGATCTGGAAGAAAATAAGAACCACCTACTGCTAACAAGATTTGTGGATGATTAACTAAGATGACCGATTACCCAGCATTTCAGAACAGTGTGATACAAAGCACAGAGCAGTCTAGATCACCTCTGGGCAATGTACAGTGGGTCCATTTAAACAGCGTGCTTTTTAACACCCAACAATTTAAAGGTATGTGCACACAAATAAGAAAAGGAGATCACATGAGAGAATGGAGCAGTGCCTCAGGGGCAGGCGGGAAGAGCAGAATTAAAAAAAAATAATCAGAGGATGAATAACTTTGTATGAGTTTCCAGCGTGTCACTGATGGGAAAACTGCTAAGGGCGACAAGCTTATTAGCACAGCTCTGTGACTGAGCTCATGCGGCCATATTGTTTAAGAACCACAACTGGCTTATGGCCAAACTGTCTGGAGGGTGGGCCAAAAGAAGCTTTTATTTATCTAGCCCAGGCTTTTAGACACGGCTTATATTTTGGCCAAAAGTGTCTGAAATAGAATACAGCCAGGATGCCAGAGTCAATGCGTGTTGATGCATTTAATAGTTTGTTTACAACTTTCCTCCCATCCTTTGTATACTAAGTTTGGCGTTTCATTCTCCAGAACATCCACATTCCTCATCATCAGATATATTTGGAGATAGATATAGGTATATATACACACAGATATATATGCATACATATATGTGAAACAGATGAAGATTTGTGATCTGCAAGCATATCATACAGAACATGACATGGAGGAAAGTTTCAGGCCACTTACTCTTCCTGAATTCAACTGCTTTTCTTTTTCTGACTGTGTCCTATTCTGAACGGAAGGATGCCATGGCAAAGCATACGACAAAGATGGAAGATAAGGAAAGGTGAACTGTGAAGTAGCCTCAGGTCATGCTATACATCAGCTCCCTCTCCCATAATACTTCACCATCCAACAAGCGTCATAAACTAGGATTTCTTGTTCTTGCATGACTGTAGATGTGTAGAATATTCTTTCCTTCCAGAAAAACAGCTACATTTTTGTGTTTCTGATATGAAGTATGAAAATTAATATAGGGCATTTATATATGTAATTTTTTTTAATGTGATGAAAATTCAGCACACAGAACTAATAATGGATAACCCTTCAAATAAAGTGAAAGTGTTCAAAACAGTTTCCTCTATAGCTGTCAGAAGAACTGCTCATTAGGGCTACTTTGTACTACTGTGGAAAAGAAAAAGAAAATTTTATACATAGCTGTATTTGAATTGCACTCAGCCCCACCCTGATCTTCTTAGACTCTTCATTGTTTTCACCCAGTGAGGAAAATGTGTTTTGTCACCTTCCAGTTATTGTAAGTTGAAGAAGATCACTCAAAGAAGAGGTAGTCTACAAAATCTTCTTCCAGTTTGTCATTTCAGACTCAAAATTCCAGCCAAAAAAAATATAAGATGCCATAGTTTTTCTTAATCTGGCCATTAAGAACAGTTCAGATTTTCTTAATATGGGGAGTAAGACCATATACTTTGTAACACTAAATACACAAATTATAAAAAAACCCAATCGAGCATACAATTTTTTTCAGCTCTATATGCATATACATCGTACATCAACAACTCTGAACTATGTTATTCTCAACATATTCAAGAATATATAGCTTGACA